CTGTGGCTACCAAGGATGAGCTCCAGGGCCCTGGGGGCGGCGGCCTCTGGCCAGTGCAGGGGGGCAGGGAGGCCCAGACCCTGCTCCACTCTCACCCCATCAGGTCTGGCAGAGGCTCCTGAAGAAATGGGAAAGTTGAAAGCTCTGGAGAGATGCCTGCAGGTCTCCTATCCCCCCCAGAGACTCCTCACACCTTCTGTGAGAACTGCCTGGAAAAACCTAGCGCATCCCAAAGGCTCAGGTGACTGGAAGACCAGGCCAGAGGCCGGCTCCACTTGGGCTGGCTCCATCTTGGTTTATCCACCTCCCAGACACTTGGCAGAGAAGGAGTAGGGTGCAGACAACCGGATGGGGGCATCTGGGGACCTCGAGGACTTGGCACATTCAGAAACCCAGACCTCATGGCTAGACTGGGATTCTGGGCTTCAAGGAGGAGGCCCACAGAGGCTGAGGGTGTCTTTGCATCAGATCCTGTAAGGTGCGTGCTGTCCATGCCGTAGATGTGGACCTTGACCCCAGGCTGCAGCATGCACCCAAGTTTCTCCCTTCTTGCTGCTTTCCACCCTGTCCTTCCCTGCGGACGGTGGGTGCTAGGAGCAGCTCGTATTTTGCAGGTAGGATGTTCTGGTCAACATCCTGGAGGGCACGATCTCTGTGTAAATGATTTGGAATTCTTCTGAGAGATAAGGACAGTTCCTCCTAACCATAAAATCTGCAAGAATATATGGCTAAGAACACACTTAGAACCAGTCAGCAAGGGCCACGGTGACCTGGAGTTGCCATGGCAGTGGGGACTTGAAAGTCTGATGTCACCCTGCTGTCAGCCAAAGAGGTAGACCTAGGAGGGACTCTGGAAATTTCTCTGGGATCACCAATAACACTGGCGTGCAGGAGAGGCACACTGTCACTCTCCTAAGAGGACCCACTTTCTCCCTTGAGAGATCCCTATCGCGAGGTGGCCAACACTTCCCCCAGGGTAATTTTTCCTGCGCAGGAGGGGATAAGCTATCTGAGAAATCAGAGCCTGAAATAATTGAGAGGAAATAAGACAAAATCAGAATTATAGTTTTAAAAGCATGGAATGCCCGATAGATTCTTCCAGTCCTGGCAGGAGCTGGAGCAGAACAATTAGAAAACGTCTTTGGTGGCTTAATTTAAGGGGGTACATCAAGGGCAGGAATAAGGGTTCAGGGGTAGAGTCTTGCTTCGTAATGTCTTGCAGTCAACAGGTTGATTGGCATCTTGGCAATCAAACCCATCTCTGAGAGGTGGTATAGCTACAGCAGTCACCCCATCTCCTGAGCCTGTGGGAACTTTTTGACCAGAGCTGAACAGGAGTTCACTTGCAGTGGGTGATCTTAATAGTAGGATGGCCACTGTAAGTTCCCAAATACCAGCTCTACTCTCCAATGGCTCCAAAGCTGAAAAGGTCCTCACACATAGTCCACGGATGGCTCTCGACATACCTCCTTCCCATTTCCTATATCTTCAATAAACTCATTCCTATTACTCTGAGCCACAGGTCTGAAATCTTTCAACAGCCTTCGCACTGGCCTCTGCCATCTGTCTCTGGTGAACCCAGCAGCCAGAAGGATTTATGAGCTAATCATGTTGCTCCCTCTGTAAAATCTTCTCTGGCTCCCTGTTACCCCCAAGAACAGAAGCCAAAGTATAGCACTTCCAGTCTCTGTCTAGTTTATTTTTCTCTCCCTTCCCGTCCTCGTCCTCTCTCTCTCCTCCCCACCCCCTCAGTGGTTCTTTTTAGTCATATTTGACAGTAGGATCCATTTTCTGCCCAGTTCTCTATCTGTATCTCTCACTTGACCACAAGAATCAAGGGGGTCTTCAGGTTGCCTCCATTTCTGGGAGGACCCAGCTCAATAACACCACCACGTGAAATACTATCAGATCCCCTAACTAATCCTCTGCACAGTCTGTCTCTGTGTACAACTCCTCACTTTTTGCTTGGCTAACTCTAGTTTGAGCTTGACTACCTTCTTCAATGCCCCCCCAACAGTTGGACAACAAAAGTCTCCCCTGCCACAGGGTCCCCTTATTTTGACCTCACTATGGGTCCTTGCCTCTGGCCTGGAAGACCCCAGTCCACAGGTCGGAAGGGCACCACCCCCACTCTGTCTCCTCCCCTTCTAGTAGATATGGAAAAATGACAAACCCCAAAATAATGAGGCCCAGGAAAAGGGAATGAAAAAGCCATACATTGATAGCACTAATCCTTTCCCAGTGACAAGACAGGCCCCAGGGAGGAGGCATCCATCAAGTCTGGAATGACAGTCTCTGCTAAGAGGCCACAGCAGAGATCCTTTCCTAAACAAACCCTTCCAGATACCAACCACCGGCCCCAGGCCCTCCATCCAGTCCAGTGAGATAAATCCCAGATATTGACCAGTGACCCCAGACCCCCTCCCATTTTGCCCAGTAAAGCAGACCCCAAATTCCTGAGTGCCCAAACTGACACATTAATTCACCTTCTGACACATTCATTAAGTCAGTCATCTTGTCATAAGCTGTTCGTGAGATGCATGTAGGTCATGTGCATGGAAGCCTTATGGATAGAGACATCTGGAGTCTGGGAATGGCAGTGGACATTTCCTCTGGTTGATTGCTCAGGGACAATGTGAATCGCTTTCCTGCTCTGCCATGGCCTACACATCACCTGAGAGGGGTGACTTGCTGGGATGTCAATCAACCTGTTGATTGCAACACATCAGGAAGCAAGACTCCGCCCCTCAAACCTTATCCCATCTTTGATGTACCCCCTTAACTAAAGGACTGGAGCCATTTTCTCTTTGTCTAGTTCAAAAACCCATGTCGACTAGATTGATCAGGGACTTCGCTGTCTGTAAATATATTTGTTTGTGGGTTTTTTTTAATATTTATTTTTTTTAGTTGTAGTTGGACACAATACCTTTGTTTTATTTATTTTTTTAAAATATTTTTTTAGTTGTCAATGGACCTTTATTTTATTTATAAATAAAAAAAGTATTATGCTGAGAAATGAACCCAGTGCCTCACACATGCTAGGCAAGTGCTCTACCACTGAGGCACCACCCCAGCCCAAGTGTTTGTTTTATTACTTGTTAATTATTTGAGATAGTAAGATTTAGGGTGGCTTGGACTCTTCTGGGCAGAAGAACCTCTCTATGACACACTGGCCTTCTTCCCTCTGGAAAATCTTTCATGACTTAATTAAGCCCAGTCCTCTCCTTTGTTCAGTGGCTCATTTTCTACCAGGAAAGTGGGTCCAGCAGCATCACCCCATTCCTGCCCACCCTGTTCCTGCATGAAACTTCTTTCCTGGATAAAAGGCTGAGATGATCCCTGAAGTTTGAGTCTGGCCAGGTCCTTTTGTGCTAACAACTTCTGTAACCGGAAGCTGGAGTCCTGGCCTCCATGCCAATCCAATAACCAAGACAAGATCTTGAGAAAAAGGAAAAAGGTTTATTGCTTTGCTAGCAAAGGTGAAACACAGGGGACTCCAGTCCCAAAGGCTGTGATTCTGCCCATCCCCAGGGGCTTTTATGGCGGTGGCTCAGAGAAAATAAGGGGGAGTGGAGATCAGCAAGGAGAAGGCCAGGGAAAAGAAAACCAGGCAGCAGCTCGGTGGCACTTGCCTGTAATCTCAGAGGCTCTGGAGTTCAAAGCCAGCCTCAGCAAAGGGAGGTGCTCAGCAACTCAGAGAGACCCTGTCTCTAACTAAATAAAACAGAAAATAGGGCTGAGGATGGGGCACAGTGGTCCTGTGACCCTGATACTCAAGCCCTGGTACCCCCCACCAAAAAAAAAAAAAAAAAAAAAAAAGCTGATCAGGGAGGAGATGGGGAAGAAGTTGTTTAGGGAAAGGATGATCAGGGAGGAGAATTTAGGGAAAAGATGATCAGGGAGGAGAAGTTTAGGGAAAAGATGATCAGGGAGAAGTTTAGGGAAAAGATGATCAGGGAGGAGAAGTTTAGGGAAGGGGAAAAGGAAAAAAAAATAACATGTAAGTTTCAAAGCCACAAGGGACACAGTCAAACCATCAAGGGAACCTGCTGGCATCCCACTGAAGCCAGATTTAAAGATATGTTGATAGTGTAGTTAGGTAAATCGGGTCCAATATGAGTAAAATCGGAAATGAAGGCCATGATGAAAATGGAGCCCGGGGAAAGCAAAGAAACACTTGGGAAATGGAAAGTTAATATTCCCAAGGCCCAGAGCCCATTCTAAAGAAATGTTAATGAAACAGCTCCCAGCAAACAGGGAGGTGCTAATCAAAAGCAGCCCCAGGCCCTTCCTGACCAGATTACTCCTCAGGCCCATCTGCCCCTCACCTTTTGGGTCTCCCCGCCTACATTCTATAACTGCAAGATAACAGGACAAAGGACAGAACTCCGTCAGAAAGCTAAATGAAGACCTTAGTATAAAAGAGGGAAGAACTCCCCCTTCCATGGATCCCACCTCTTGGGTCCCCTTCTTCCTCCRGGCGAAGTCTTTTCTGCTGTCCTTAATAAAGCTTCTACTCTCCACTCGAAACCTGCCTCGGGTGCTTCTCTGCTGTTATACTTCGGCACTGGGGAAGCCAGGCCTCGTCACCGGTAAAGAGCGGTCACCGCATAGGGAGGTGCCAGGTGGCACGGCCTGAGTGGGTGCTGCAGGAAGAAGGCCTGCGGTCTGGCCCATCTGGGAAGCGCTCATCCGCGCTCTGGGTAGAGGGGCGACAAGGGGTCGGCAAAGTGGCAGGTGGTAAGACACTGGCCTAGCATGCGCAAGGCCCGGGGCTCCATCCCCAGCACCGGAAAAGGGAAGGGAAAAGAAGAGAAAATGAAAAAGAAAGGAAAACGCCTAAAGGTCCTAAGTAGGGCTCCAGGAAGTCACGCCCCCCGGAACGCACTCCTGCCGCGGACACGGCCGGCGTCGCACCCACCTCCCCGCCCCTCACCAACTTGGCGCCAGAGCGCGGGGCTGCGGGCGGAAGTGACGCGCACGCCGGAAGTGCGCCTGCGGGTGGGCCGGCCGAGCCCAGCACGGAGGCTGAGGTTCGAGGCTGGTGATGCGACTGGCGGGGCGGCTTGCGGGCGCCGCGGCGCTGTGGCTGCTGCTGTCCGCCCACGCGGCGTCGGCGTTCGAGCCCCTCACCGTGGGCCTGGCCATCGGGGCCGTGTCGGCCCTCACGGGCTACCTCTCCTACCAGGACCTGTACTGCCGCTTCGCCGAGTGCTGCCGCGACGAGCAGCCGCTCAACGCCTCGGGTACGTGCTTCGGCGGGGCGGGCGATGGCCCTGCTGGAAGCGGCCTGCGACAGCGCGCCGCGGCCCCCGGACCTGCCGCGGCCCCTCACCTGCCGCGGCCCACGGCCCCGGCTCCGAGCGGCGCGCGACGCGCGACGCGCGGCCGCCCCGGCGCCCCCGCAGCCCCGCAGCCCTGCCAGCCGCGCCTGCCGCGCCGCGCCGCCTGGAAGCCCGCGGGGATGGCGGAAGAGTAGCCTGCAGCTCGGCCGGGAGGTGGTCCGACCTTGGATGAAAGAGGCCATCTAGCTTCCTGGTCAGACGCGTAGGGTTAAGCAGAACCGCCACCTAATGCACTTCCTCGGCGGTGGCATCACTTGGCTCCAGCCCCTGCGGGTCAGCCTCAGCCTTGGCTCCCGGGTGCTGCCGGATCGCTCGCTGAGCCTGCCTCTCGCTTTGGTCAGCTGGGAAAGTGCCGCTTCTCTGATGCGTTTTTAACGTGTGTTTTTCTCTCTGTCCGGGGCCTGGCTCCCGCAGCCCTCAAGTTGGATTTGGAGCAGAAGCTGTTTGGACAGCATCTGGCCACGGAAGTGATTCTCAAGGCGCTGACTGGCTTCAAGAACAACAAAAACCCCAAGAAACCACTGACCCTGTCCTTGCACGGCTGGGCTGGCACAGGCAAGAATTTTGTCAGTYAAATTGTGGCTGAAAATCTTCACCCAAAAGGCCTGAAGAGCAACTTTGTCCACCTGTTTGTATCAACTCTGCACTTCCCTCATGAGCAGAAGATTAAACTGTACCAAGTAAGAGAACCCACCCTTACCTTCTCGCAGGGTGCTCAGAGTGGCCTGGGTGACCTGCCTGCTAACTCTGGCCTCCTCTTGTCTTTGCATCGCAACAGCCCCAGAGTTAAGGCTCCATGTAGTCCAGGGGGTTAGGAATATCTCCTGTAAATCTCTCCTTAGAAGTCCAGCAGAGTAGGTGATGTAATTCCCATTAAAAGATGGAGCCAAGAGAGGCAAGGTGACTTGCTCCTCAAAATATTTGTGGCCTTTGGGCCCAAAAAAGCTTAAACTCAAACCTCCCAGCTCCCACTTTACCTGCTAGCTACCCTCTACAGTGAGTGCACAGTCTCAATGGCTAGCATGGCCCTGGCCTCCTTTAATGCTCCCTGTCCCCCCAGGGGCCTCAGCTGTACCCCTGCATTTTGCAAGGTAGACTAGAGGATTTTTTTTCCCCTCTTAAATGGTTTTTATACCTTGTTTCTCCCGACCTTCAAGTCCTTGTCTTGGCTCAAAGAAAGCCTCATGAGTGTTTCTCTGAGATATTCTTTCCACATTTAAGGTGTTAAATGTTTTCTAAATGAATGTGTCATTATTAAGGTTAATATTCCTGCTGTTAGGAGCCAAGTAAAATGGGAAATAGAAACTTAACTGAACTAGGAAGTGAAAGTATTTTCCACTCAAGCCCTTAAGACAGGGAAGATTGCCAAAAGGAAGAAATAATTTTCTTGTTTTCAAATTGTATTGTAAATCTCTTGAAACGTGGCAAAATAGATGAAGGGGTATCTTGGGGGGCGTTCATGGTCAAGTTCTTTCACGTTTTGGGTTTGAGAACTTGTTGCTGGGGTGTTTTTGTTTCAAGAAAAGCCTCGAGGCTGGGGGTGAGGAGCAGTGGTAGGGCACTTGCCTAGTGTGCCAGGAGCCTTGGGCTTTATCCTTAGCACCACAAGGAAAAAAAAAGCCAGCAGCATAGGGACAGACTTTTCATGAAATGTCATCTAGGTCAGTTCTTTGCTTTCGTCTGGGGTCTTGGTCTTAATCTAAGACTAAACAGCCTTATTCCTCAGTGTATGTGGCAATATTGACTGGAGGTTTGTTCAAATGTGAGGTGAAAACTATGGGGTGGTCAGCAGGAAGGATAAATATTCCTATGTCTTCTACCTCTTAGACCCTTAAGAAGTCAAAGCATTACATTTGAGGTAGGAAAAATGTCTTTGCAATTCAGCATTTATCTTTGTGCCCGTTTACACTTTTTTTTAACATAAATAATTTATTTTTTATTTAAATATTTTATTAGTTGTAAATGAACATGGTATCTTTTATTTATTTTTTGTATGTGGTGCCGAGGATCGAACTTAGTGCCTCACACATGGGAGGCAAGTGCTCAACCGCTGAGCCACAGCCCTGGCCCAATAGTTTATTTTTTTTAATATTTATTTTTTAGTTGTAGTTGGACACAATACCTTTATTTTATTTATTTATTTATTTCTTGTAGTGCTGAGATCAATCCCAAGGCCTCGCACGTGCTAGGCGAGCGCTCTACTGAGCCACAACCCCAGGCGCCCCCCTACCCTTTACACTTCTGATGGTTTGAAAAAGGTGACAGCCCCAGGAACCCCTTCCTTGGTCCTTTAGAGCAGAGGAACAGGGTAGTGCTTGGGCTCCCTGGGTGTGGCCTTTGAGCCTCTGCCACCTCTTTCATGGTCTGTCTAGGAGCAGCTACAGAAGTGGATCCGTGGAAACGTGAGTGCCTGCGCCAGCTCGGTTTTCATATTTGACGAGATGGACAAGTTGCACCCCGGGATCATCGATGCCATCAAGCCCTTCCTAGACTACTACGAGCAGGTGGACGGGGTGTCCTACTGCAAAGCCATCTTCATCTTTCTCAGGTCAGCCAGCAGTGGTTTCTCAGGGACACATGAGTCCTCCATTCTCCCAGTGCTAGAATGAGGTCCTGTGACCACCTGCATTTTGTTTATCAGGGACAGAAGTGCTAGCCGGGTAAAGGTTACTTTTACTTTTTGGTTACCAGTAATCAGCATGGCATAGAATGGGCAAGGGTGAATGAGCTGAGGAAATAATTGCTGATAACAGACAATTTGGAACTGTGTGTTGTCTCAGAGGGTTATAAAACCACAGCATGATCCCAGAAAGCTATGAAGACATAGATGGTGTTGGGCAGTGGTGCACACCTTTGGTCTTGGCAACTCGCATGGCTGAGGCAGGTGGGTCACAAGTTAAAGGCCAGCCGCAGTAAATCAGCAAGGCTCTAAGCAACTTAGCAAAACTGTCTCAAAATAAAAAAGAAGACTGCATATAATCCCAGGGCTTCCGCTGCTCCTGTCCTTGTCCTTGCTGCCCTCCTGGGAGGCGGAGTCGCCATCCTCTCCATGGTGCCCAGGTTATACTTGGCCCTGCCATAGTGGCCACTGGGCTTCCACAGCTCTTCTGGTGGCCTTCATGGACTGTTTTCCCCTGGTGCCCCAGCCTGGAGCAGTGAGGAGGGCCACAGGTGGGGAAGCCAGTGTGCAGGGGTGGTCTGGAGGTGGGTGCTCTGGCTGGAGAGGCGATAGGGGACCACAGGGTGGGGCAGTGCATGGGGGAGGGGGAGGAGGAGGTGTAGGTGAGCCCATGGATGTGGGTGGAGAGCCTTGTGGGGCCCTTGGCCCGAATAGGGGAGGGGTGTAGTGAGAAGAGCAAGGCACCGGGATCCTAGAGGAGCTTCCTAAATGTGTGGAGGTATTTATTATTAAAATTATGTTCTGAAAATAATTAACCGTAAAAATAAAAAGATAAGAAAAAGGGCTGGGGATGGCCTGGCTCGGGAGGATAAGCAGGAGGATTATGGATTCAAAGCCAGTGTCAGCAACTTAGTGAGGCTCTGAGCAACTCAGCGAGACCCTGACTTTAAGTAAAATATTTAAAAAACAGCTGGGGATGTGGCTAGGTGCTTAAGTGCCCCTGGGTTAAATCCCCAGTACCAAGATTGGTGGGGGGTGGGTCAGTGACAAAATGCTTCTAGGTTCAATCCCCATACCAAAATAAATAAATTAATCACTAATAATAGTAATAAAAAGGAAACAAATGGTGCATGCCTAAAATCCCAGTGACTCTGCAGGCTGAAGCAGGAGGATTGAAAGTTTGAGGTGAGCCTCAGCAACTTTGCAAGACCCTATCTCAAAATAAAATTTAAAAAGGGTTGGGAGTGTAGCTCAGAACATCCCCGGGTTTAATCTTCAGTATGCAAAACAAAACAGAAACAAATTTTAAGTTCCTTGAGGGCAGTTTCTTTTGTGTATAGTAGCATTTAGTAAATTTGGTCTAAGAAGAAAGCTTCAGGGACTAGATGTGTAGGTTGGTGGTAGAGTACTTGCCAAGCATGCATGAGACCCTGAGTTCAACTGCTAGCACCCCAAGAAAGGCTGAAGCTTAGGGCTGGGGCGGAGTTCAGTGGCATAGCATGCTTAGCATGCTTGAGGCCTATATTCCATTCCTAGCACCAGAAAAATAAGTAAACCCTGGAGCAGGTTCATTTCCTGATGAAACACAGAAGTCTTGATATGTGATTTGATCTATTTCCTGGCCAACCCAGCAATGCAGGTGGGGACCTCATAACTAAGACAGCTCTGGACTTTTGGAGGGCAGGAAGAAAGAGGGAAGAYATCCAGCTGAAGGACCTGGAACCTGTGCTGTCTGTTGGAGTCTTCAACAATAAACACAGTGAGTCCCCAGGGCGAGGAGCCAGCAGGTGCTGTCTGTTCTGCTGAGTCTTTACAGAGCCCCAGAGCCTACTTGCTAGGGGCTCTGCTGCTGTGGGGTTCCCTAGGGCCTTAGCAGGGGTTGCACACCTGACAGACTTGCCAGGAGTGAAGACGTGAAGAACATGCTGCAGGCTGAGATCAGGTGTGGAGTTCGACCAGGTGGCAGTGACAGGCAGGAGACAGCTCTGTGTTGTTCTGCAGGTGGCCTGTGGCGCAGTGGGCTGATAGACAGAAACCTCATCGACTACTTCGTCCCCTTCCTGCCCTTGGAGTACAGACACGTGAAGATGTGTGTGCGGGCAGAGATGCGGGCCCGTGGTGCTGATGTAGATGAAGACATTGTCACCAGGGTGGCAGAGGAAATGACGTTTTTCCCCAAAGATGAGAAAATCTATTCAGACAAGGGCTGCAAGACCGTTCAGTCCCGACTAGATTTCCACTGAGCGCTTACCCACACCTGGACCTTGCCCTTCAGAAACACTTTAAAGACCTCTTCAGGGTTCTGCATATTTGCACCTGTGAACTTGGGATCTAGAAGTTTCTAAGAGTTAACTATTGAAAAGACACTAATCTGTCCTGCGTGCGACATAATGGCAGTTCAGCTGTTCCTTGCAATTGAATGTGAGCTTTTAGAATCCTTATATGCACAGTTATTAACCTTCACGGAAGTGCCTACAAACAGCTGTGCGTGAGGTCATTGGTGGGTGACTCACGGCCCAGCCTCTCAAGCCAGTGCTTTGACCAAGGACCCCAGGGACCCTGCTACAGTTGGGAGCATCAGGTTTTCACATGCCAAAGTCGTCTTGCTCTGCTTTTTCTTTGCACAGAGTACATTCACTGGCTGGTAGTATTTTTAGTTAACGTCAGTGGCCCTGCAGGTGCAGGTGGTGTTGGCGAGGAGGATGTGGCCCTGCACACCGGCTACTCTTGCCCAGGGCTGGACTGTCATCCTAAGGGTGAAGGTGCACCCAGGCCCTGTAAGCAGACCAGGATCCAGAGTCCCTTGGGTCTGGCCCTGGCCTTGGAATTCCCACTGTCAGCCTGGTGAGCCTGCCAGCTCCTTATACCATGTCCTCCACTACCAGGTTTCCCCAGCCCCATCATGCTACATTTGCCTGTTACACTTCACATGTGAGTAATGTGCAGCTCAGCAGGTTAGGCAGGTTCTCTGGGCTGTGCGGGTGCGCAGAGCCTGATTACAGAGGAAGCAAAATGCTTAAGCACCTTTTCAAAGATAGGTGTATTTTGCCAGGTGTGGTGGTGCATGCCTGTAATCCCAGCAGCTTGGGAGGCTGAGGCAAGAGGATCACGAGTTCAAAGCCAGCCTTGGCAATGGCGTGCTAAGCAACTCAGTGAGACTCTGACTCTAAATAAAACACAAAATTGGGCTGGGGATGTGGCTCAGGGGCCAAGTACCCCTGAGTTCAATTCCTGTACCCACCCCAGAAAAAGATAGGTGTATTTTTATAATGTTTTTACTTCTGAATCTTAGATGATAAAGTATAGGATATTGCATATTTTAAAACCTGGGAACTACATAAAATGGAATAATTGCTTATTCTCTTCTCAGGTACTTTGAAGTAGTATGTTTTTTTTAATTTTTTTTATGCTAGGGAAGTAGTATGAGTTTTTATTGTTAAGTACAAGGTACGATATGGTCACAATTGAAGATCAAAGAAGGTCATCTGAGTGGTGGCTGGTCTGGTGTCATCTGATGCTGACCCCTGCATGGCAGTGCCAGGCTGGATGGCCCTGATCACTGGGAAATAAGAGTCAGATTCCAGCCAGCAGGATCCTTCTGCCTGACCCACAGTTGTGATATAACTGTAGACACATAATTGAAACACTGGGTAACATTTTTATATGTATGAAATGTGCAAGAATGAATATTTTACAACATGGAAATTCCTTCTGGGGTATCACATTTAGTCTTTAAAAAACGCCACAGTAGGAGCTGGGGTCGTGGCTCAGCAGTAGAGTGTAGAGCGCCCTCACCTAGCACGTGGGAGGTGCTGGGTTCAATCCTCAGCACCACATAAGAGATAAAATGACAACTAAAAAAATATCTAAAAACACCCCCAAACACCTCTGTGGGCTGGGGACGTGGCTTGGGTAGAGTGCTGGCCTCTCATGCATGAGGCCCTGAGTTCTCTCCCCAGCACCACCCAATAAATGAAGATGCCAAGGTGAGGCTCCTGAGTTTCAGGACGTGTTCTTACATTGGAGCTAAGTTACCTTTCTTTTATAACCTTTTGGGCCTGTAGTCTGGAGGAGACAAGGTTTCCTATTTACAGTGATGCAATAAATTCCACACATGTGGGCCACCTTTGGACTGTGGTTGCTGATTTGGAAAAGCCCAGCCTCTCATGAGATATGGACAAGACCTTGAATTGACTAGTGAATAGAAAATAATAAAAACTAAATACTATGTTGTGAGATGTCACTTTTTCTTCTTACCCCTATTTTATGTGGAGGCAAAGCGCAGAATAAAGGTTTTCAACATCTCAGGTTAGACACACCTTACCCCAGGTGTGGGGGGTTGGCAGCCTGCATCTCACAGCCAAGATTTGTCTCAAAGGTGGCTATCCCCAGAGTTAGCTCCCTGGGACCCAGGTGGGCTTCACGCTAGAAAATCCATCCTCCTGAGGCTGATGGCAGGAAGGAAAAGTTGAAGCCCCAGGACCCTAACTCAGGTGAGGAAACTGGCTCTGCTGGTTCTTCCCACCCAAAACTAGGACACAACAAGAACCTGGTTGTCACTCTTACCTTAACCACACTTAACCTGGCAGTGATCTTGTCACTGAGGTCATAACATGGACTCTTCCCAGGACTGGAAAGTTTCTAGAAAGTTCACACCCCTCTTTTTAAAAAAAAAAAAAAAAAAAAAAAAGGTGAGAGGCTGGGGATGTGGCTCAAGTGGTAGCGCACTTGCCTGGCATGCGTGCGGCCCGGGTTCGATCCTCAGCACCACATACAGACATGCTGTGTCCGCCAAATACTGAAAAATAAATATTAAAGTTCTCTCTCTCTCTCCCTCTTTCTCACTCTCTCTCACTTTCTTTAAAAAAAAAAATCTCAAAAAAATTATTAAAAAAGGTGAGAGAGAATTTTTAATATTTTTTGTTAGTTTTCGGTGGACACAACATCTTTGTTGGTATGTGGTGCTGAGGATTGAACCCGGGCCGCACGCATGCCAGGCTAGCGCGCTACCGCTTGAGCCACATCCCCAGCCCTCACACCCCTCTTCATGGCCCTGCCCCCTCCCTCCATTTCTCAGTTGAAGGTGCTCAACTGGCAGGAGACTTATTTCCTTGGTCTGGCCTAAGGCAGTCTCTGTTCCACCCTAAACTGCTTCATCTACTGAGACTGAACTTTGCAAAATGATGTCAGAGGACTTCTTTTTCCTATTTACAGCCTTACAGGTGCCAGGGCTGCCATCTTCAGAGAGATGATCAGAGCTCATCTGTGACTGCTAAGGACACTTGAACCATGCTAGGGAGACTGGGCCACCCTAGAAACAGGCAAAGGTAGCCGTAAGACAGGGGCTCCCACAGCAGCCCAGCAGCCAGGCCAGCATCGTCTTTATGCCAGGAACTGAACACAGGGCTTGAACATGAGCACAGCTCTGCTGTTGAGCACCTTGGCCCCTCCAGCCATCTTCTAAGCCTGCTGGACCCTTCCTGGGGAGCACTGCCCCTCTGTAGGCATGCGAGCTGCGCTGCACAATATGTCTCCTGGAGCCCTGCGCTCCTGCCTGACACCTCAGCTGGACCGGAGCATCACGGCTGGGTGCCAGGAGCTCCGTGAGTCCTGCCCTTGAAGTGCACTGCCCTGGCAGCTTGGTGAAGGTCAGACTGCACTTCCTTCCCACCAGAACTGCCTTGCTACCTACATCTTTACTCAGCCTACACGCACAGGCCTCTGGTGAAGGGTTTTCCTTTATAAACCATACTCAGAAGGCTGCAGGTGTGGCTCAGCGGTGAGCACGTGTGAGCTCCAGTACACTCGCATGTATCCGAAAACTATGCGAGGCTGGGACATGGCTCAGTCAGAGAACCCTCGCCTTGGACATGTGAGGCACTGCACTCCGTCCCCAGCACCACCCAGAGAAAAAGAAACCAAAAGTTCAAAATTCTGTTGTAAAATGGTAGCATTTATAGATAACACTATTCTTGGCCTTCTCAGAGGGGCAGCTAAGCTCTCCTAGATGTGGGGAGTTCTCATTCAACATAACAAAACTAGTGACCATGAGGGAAGTTCTTAGAAAGAATATGGCAAAATCCATCACAACTGAAGAACCAGCAGAGGAAGCGCGGCTCGTTTGGAGACGTAGCGGGGCTGGCAAGTGGGGAGCTGGAGGGTCCTTTTCTTCCCTTTTTTGGGGTGGGGTGGTACTAGGGATCACACCAGCACGATTGTCATGGGCACTTTGCCACACTGAGCTGCATCCCAGCTCTCCTCCCGTGGCGGGTCTCACTACTGTCCTCACTAAGTTTCCTCTGGCCTCACTCTCCTGCTGAGGCTGGCCTCAGACTTCTGATCCTCCCTCTTCAACCTGGGATGGCGGGTGGGTGTGCCAGGCTCTGGATGTTTCTTTCAAAAGATTCAAGTTCTGACGAGTGCACACAGTATGACCAAGCTCGTCCCCATAGCGCCCACTGTCCCCACTGCTCCCAGCTGAAAGCCCCAGGAGGACGTCGGGCTTACCGCGGGCCGGCCTGGGTCCTCTGCCGTACTCCTCCTCCTGTCTGCACACTTCCTGGCCCTGGCGGGGCTGGTTCTGGTCATCCCGGGATAGCACTGGTGTCCCCTGTACTGCCATCCCACAGAACAGATGCCAAGGACCATGCTCAGCCTTAATGCGGTAGACATGACGGTTTGTAATGATGAGGATTTGAAAAAAATCACACAAAGCCAAAAACTTAGAATCTGAAAAAAGTTTCTCATAATGTTAAAACCATCTTAAATAAAGTTATCACATTTTCAGTAAAACTTATTTATCGTTCCTTGAAACAGAAATAAGTGAAATTAAAACATAATTTTTAAAAAATCACGAGCCCCGGAGTGGGTGGGCTGGGAGCTGCAGTTTTCTCCTCTGAAGGCTCCAGACACCTCCTGTCCATATCTGGGTTCTTAAGGTAGGGCACTGTGGCCTTCCAGGGAGGGAACAGGCCCAGAATTCCTGCTGCACTCCTGGAAATATCCATTTGATTCCTCTTCCCTGGAAAGGAGCAGGGGCAGACTGAGTGTTGAGTTCCTCTCAAAGCCTGGCGTGGGCTGTCAGTCATCGAGGTAATAGTCCAGCTTGGTGTGCACCGTCTTGCAGCCCTTGTCAGAGAAAACGCGCTCCTCCTTGGGGAAAAAGGTCATCTCTTCAGCCACTCTGCTGATAATGTCCTCGTCAACCTCATAGCCACGGGCCTGCATCTCGACCCTGATGCACATCTTCAGGTGTTTGTATTCCAGGGGCAGGAAGGGGACAAAATAATCAATGAGGTTTCGGTCAATCAGACTGCTGTGCCAGAAACCACCTGGGAAACAGGAAAAGATACTGTTTGCCACCAGCCACCTGCCAGTCCGTCCACCCAGCACACACCCACTGGGAGGTCGCCCGAACACCCACAAGCTGTGACTCTTCTATGACAGCAGGGGCAGGGTGACGATGCAGAGCACCTCTGCCTGGCAACACAATGTCAGTGTCCCAGGGACCCTGGGACCAGCAGAGGTGGTGCAGGAGCGGGTGAGTCCTGGAAACCTGGACTCTGCTGGAGCTTTGGCATCTGGATTAGCAGAGGGCAGAAACTCACTGCTGCTGCAGTGCAGCCCAAGGGTGCAGAGCATCCCAGAGCCAAAAGCCGGACCCCCTCAAGCACCCAAGTGCGAATGTGACACTGCACACCCAGGGGCACTGCTCTGCCAGGCATTCTCCCAGAGGGTCTCCCTACCCCTGCCTAGCCCTCCAGGGTCCTGGGACCTTTTATTTATTTATTTATTTTTTGGTAGCAGGGATTGAACCCAGGGGTGCTTAACCACTGAGCCACATCCCAGTCCTTTTTATTTTAAGACAGGGTCTTTCTAAGTTGCTTAGGGTCTAAATTGTTGAGGCTGGCCTCCGACTTGCAATCCTCTTGCCTCAACCTCCTGAGTCCCTGGGATTACAGGTGCACACGACCATACCTGGCTTCGTGGGACTCTTGATCCAGAGGGTACTCCCTCCCACACGACACAGCACCCACTGCTCACCACTCCCACGATCCTCCACACCCCGCTGCTTGGCTGGTTATTCCTTGTGACTCTGCCCCTAATGCCAGCTCTGCCAAGACTGGAGTGTAAGTTTTCCATTCCCAACAGTGCCTCGCACACCACTGGTTCTCAGTAGATCTGCCCCGCTGGCTGGGGAGGAGAATGTGGCCACAGAAAGTAACCACACTAACAAGTGGAATGGCTCACCCAGCAGGTGTGTGCTGGGTCCTGGGGACAGCAGAGCCAGCCAGTCAGCCAGCGACGCTGCTGGCACAGGGCTTTCCACTAAGGGTGAGGAGACACTCGACCAACCAGGAGAGACACACTTTCCCACAGGGCCAATCCCTAGGTACCATGAAGTGAACCAGGCAGCTGGGGTGGCTGGGCAGGGCCCAGAGAGAAAAACGGGACCTCTGAGCACAGCAATGATGACAAGGACCTGGCCACACAGGCCCAGAAGGTGTCCAGCAGAACCAGTGATTTAAAAACCACCTACTGGGCCAGGTGCAGTGGTGCACACCTGTAATCCTAGCCCCTCAGGAGGCTGAGGCAGGAGGATTGCAAGTTTGAGGTCAGTTTGGGCAATTTAGAGAGACCTGTCACAAAAAATAAAAAGGGCTGGGGTTGCAGCAAGTGGTGGAGCCCTTGCCTAGCACGAGCGAGGCCCTGGGTTCCAGCCCCAGCAGCAGCACCCGACAATAATAAAACGTCTGCGGTCCGGGGCTGTTTAACCCCCAGCTCCAGAGGAACAAAGGACACGCACTGCTGACTCCCAGAGCTATCTTCCCAACCAGACAGCTCCCTGGAGTGTCCCTAGGACGGGCCACGTCTGTTCCACATCCCTGCTGGGACACCAACAAGTCAGGACGCACTGATCATGTGGTCCCCACAAGCCTGCTCCTCCTGCTCCACCCAGTGGCAGGACCCACCCTCCTTCTGCTCAGCCTCATACTTCTCTCATGCCCACAAGCAATCCTGTGGGAAATCTGGCTTTTACCTTCAAACTGCACCCAGAATCTGACCGGGCCTTAGCACCTCCATGGCTACCACACCAGAGAATCTGTTGTCCACAGCAGCCAGGATCCCTTGAGAACCGGGGGCATGTCATCACCTGCCAAAACCCTCCGGGTCCTCTCCTCACTTGGGGTAAGTGGCCAGGCCTCACTACTGTCCTTCCTGCCATGACCCCAGCCCCTGCCTACCTCAGAGACCTGTACCTGCAGACCCAAGGGAATATTGTCCCTTAGCTGTCCACATGGCTCAGTCCCACGGGTCAGCTCAAATGCTGCCTGAAACCTCTGGGCTCTCTAAGTATGGCTTGAACTTATCCCAGCAGCACAAACCATTTCTTTTTTTTTTTTTCCACAAGCGGCGGAGGATGTGGGTGTCTGTGTGTGCGTATTTACTGAGTGAGCACACACGCATGCACACATCCCGCCATCTTTATCATCATCACAGCACAAGGTCTGAGGGCAAGAATGCCTGTCCACTTGCTGCGCAGTGAACATTCAGCTCCCGCCAAGGCCCGTGCACAGCGTCTGAGCCAGGTCTGCCCAGTGGCCACGCTTGTCCTGCAGCCACTGTGCGGCCTGCCAGTGTGGTCTCAGCACTGCCTTGTCATGACCACCGGAGGCCACAGTTCCCGTGGTGCCCGCTCACGTCTTCTGGCATGAAAGAGACTTCTTAACGTTCTACACAATATTTGTCTTTCCTCAGTAATATTACACTTACATAAGTTCACATAAAATGCCCCATGCTATTCCTGAAATTCCAGTATGAATTTCTTAGCAACCATGTTTCAAACAAGGCTTTCTGGGCCAGGCGTGGTGGCGCATGCCTGTAATCCCAGCAACTTGGGAGGCCAAGGCAGCAGGATGGCGAGTTCAAAAGCCAGCGAGGCCCTAAGAAACTCAGTAAGACCCTGTCTCTAATAAAATACCCAAAAGGGTTTGGAGATGTGGCTCAGTGGTTAGGTGCCCCTAGGTTCAATTCCTGGTACCAAAAACCCCCAAAAAACTCAAGGCCAAGGCCCTCTGTTTTGTCTCTTCAAGAACCCAAGTAAAGATGTGACCACGCAAAGGGCACTGCGAAAGTCTTCAGCCAGTGAGTCAGCCCTGGCATGGCCTGAACCCCCCAGAGTTCAAGGTCAAAGGTCTGTGTGACACTGGCAGGACAGGTAGCTGAGCCAGAAGTCAAAAGCTCGGTTCTGGAAGCAAAGATACATAATGGGCTGTGCTTCACGGTCCTCATCTGCAAAGAGGGAAAACAGCTACCTCCTCACCAAGGGGATTGAGACTACAGGCGATGTGCAGGTGGGAACGGGGCCTATGGCTGGACAGGGCGAGGGCCTGCCCTGGCACCGTGTTCTCAGACACAGGACCTGAGTTCTAAGCGAGGCTGACAAAGGAAGGGGCCTCCTGGGGCCCCGTCCCCACCAGCCACCCACAGTGGTCTCCTCTTCTTTTCCACTACAGAGAAAATACTTAGCTGAAGAAAACTAATTTTCAAAATTTCAACAATTTCCCTCTTTGTTGAAAATGGTACTGCTCAAACTTTAGTGTTCATAAAAGTCACCTGGAGTTTGTCACCAGATTCCCCTTAGGAATTCTGACTTGGAAGGGAATGAGAAGTGGATTTCTACCCAGCTCCTGGGGATGGAGGCGCTCATGCTTCCTAACTTAAGGGTGCAGGATTCTGAAGGTTGGCGCAGACAGCCCACTTACTGTTCCTGTTGTTGAAGACAGACACAGACAAGGCGTGCTCCATGTCCTTGAGCTTGATTTCCTCCCTCTGCTTCCCTCTTCTCCAGAAATCCAAAGCCACATCTGTGATCCTCTCTGCTCCAGCATTGCTGTAAGACAGCTGCAGTGAGGGGGGACTGGGCTTCCCGACGCCCACGGGCACGCGCCCAGCCCTTCAGCATGTCCCAGCCGGGACCTCACCTGAGGAATATGAAGATGGCCTTCTGGTAGGAGACCTCATCCACCACATCGTAATAGTCCAGGAAAGGCTTGATGGCATCTATGAGGCCAGCGTGCATCTTGTCCATCTCATCAAAGATGAAGATGGACCTCGCACAGGCACTCACGTTGCCTCGGATCCACAGCTGTAACTGGTCCTGGATTGCAAGGGGAAAGCCAATTCAGAGCCCTCAGCAAGCGCAACGGAAACAACCATTTGTTAGGCCTGTGATCAACCACTGAGCCACACCCTAGCCCTGTGGGACAACTTCCACCGCTGAGAACCATGGGTGCATTTTGGGAGGTCTGCACCAAGAACCTGACATGCACTTTCTTCCTCACGATCACCCCAGGGAGGGGGCACCATCACACCTGGCTGACAGATGAGGATGTGGAAGCAGAGGGAGCTTAACCCACATGCCCAAGATTATACAGTATGTAGCAGAGCAGGATCTGAACCCAGCCCTGCCTGACTCCAAGCCCCTCACCCCAGTGATGACTCCTGCTGGGAGACCAGGCCAACACAGTGAGGTACTGGTTCTTGGTCCCCAAACGGCAGTGAGTTACACACGCTGTGTAGTGTACTCCAATCTTTCTGGAAGAGAGAACCTAAGTGACCTCTACCCTTACTCGGCAGCATGGCCAGCGCCAGTGCTCCAACTTATAGATGGAAATGTGGTGATCAGGCTCCCTCAGGAAAGCAGCTGAACCCCAAGGCCAGCACTTAGAGGACACCTGGTGAGGCAGCACATCGGAGTTTCTGGAACAATTCCTGAAAGAAATCTGCCTCACCATATACCCCGTGAACACATTTGGGTACTTATTTTTGTGTGTGCTGGGAATGGAACCCAGGCTCTAGAGCACGTTAGGCAAGGGCTCTACCACAGAGCCACACCCCAGTCCAGGGTATTCCAGGTAAGGAACAAGACACCTTGAAGCTTTTTTATCAGAAAGTTAGGCTATGATTCTATAAAATCCACAGATATTTTTTCCCCTCCAGGTGAGGTAGGAAAATGAGCTATTTATTTTCTAAGGAAGACTCTGGAAGTTACACTGTAGGTCTTACTATTATTCCGGGGTTATCCTTGGCTACTGTGACTGTGGTTACAATGTTCCCTGTGTGTATCTAATCTAAGCAGCAATCCTGCCCTATAGGTCTGAACTAGCTTTCACTTACACAGGAACCTCTGGAGACCTGAAGTGGCTTGAGCTCACTGTGTCACTATTTACACAGGACTCCCTGCTCTGTTGGCCCCTATCAGCCAAGGTGTTCTCACTATGCTACGCCAATGTAGACAGTTGATCACAGGCCTAACATGCTCGGGGCCCTGGGTTCCTTTTGTAGCACTGCAAAAAAAACATTGCAAGACACTATTCAAAGCACCATTTGCACAACATGTTACCGTTCCATTCAAAGCCATCAGGACAACACTACCGCATTCTCTTTCAGACAGATAAGAAAATGCAGGCATGGAGAGGTCAACCTGCCCAAAGTCATTTGTTAAGATGGAGGTGCCTATCCTAACTATGACAACCAACTCATCCCAATTGGCCTAGAACTTGTCCAGTTTCAATGCTGGAAGTCCAGAATCTCAGGAGCCCTAGGCAGTTGTGTTCAGGTGGTGAGGGCTAAGTACCTCACTGTTCTGCCTACTTTGCAGGTCTGTCACATGGATCCTAAAAGGTAACAGCACTTATTTAAAGCTCAAGTGCCAGGCACCATGCTACATAACTGACAGCTCACTGAATTATCCCAAGCACCATTATGTAATGAAGACCCTGTTTCTCAGAGAGGTCAGGTGATTTTCCCAAGGCTACACAGCTGGTAGGAGGGAGTGTCAAGATTTGAGTCTAGGGCTGGGGATGTGGCTCAAGCGGTAGCACGCTCGCTTGGCATGCGTGCTGCCTGGGTTCGATCCTCAGCACCACATACAAGATGTTATGTCCGCCGATAACTAAAAAATAATAAATATTAAAATTCTCTCTCTCTTAAAAAAAAAAAAAAAAAAGATTTGAGTCTAGGTGTCACTGCCAGAGCCTGGGTGGTTGGTTATTCAGTGAATTAAACTGTAAAAGCACTTAGCAGCAGGGAAGTTCAAGCAAACTTAGGCCTCTCTAGACATGCTTCCCTTTGCACAAAATGAATGACATGTGACAACCTTCAAACTGGATTTAATCATTTCCATTTCTAAAAACCTATGTCTAGGGGCTGGGGATGTGGCTTAAGCGGTAGCGCGCTCGCCTGGCATGTGTGTGGCCCGAGTTCAATCCTCAGCACCACATACAAACAAAGATGTTGTGTCCACCAAAAACTACAAAATAAATATTAAAATTCTCTCTATCTCTCTCCCTCTCTCTTTAAAAAAAAAAAAAAAAAAAAAAAAGAACAAAGAAAGTATAAGCCACTGGGATAGGTCATGATGGTCATAATAATGAGATATTAGATAAATAAATAAATAAAAACCTATGTCTATGCTTACTATCACTGGGCCTAGTTTCAGAAACTACCACAAAGCTTTGATGTGTAATGACCAAGAATTTCAACCCTCTCTAACTTCCACACCTTTCAAAGGGGAACTGACACGTGGTGCCGTGTTCAGGCTCACTTATTACAACAGGGAACCCCCAAAGCTCACAGTAGAGACCCCACACCCAGCTTCATCCAGGAAGGGTTCCAAATTTCTGCCCTTGCCTTATACAGGGTGATGTTCGAGGCGTGGGGGAAATGCAGCGTGGCCACAAACAGGTGGACATAGTCACTGTTCAGACCGCCCTCGTAAATATTCTCGGCGATGATCTTGCTGACAAAATTTTTCCCCGTGCCGGTCCACCCGTGCAAGGAGAGCGTGAGAGGTTTCTTGGGCCTCGGGTTGCTCAGAAAACCAGACACAGCGTTTAAAATCACTTTCTTTGCAAGATGCTGTCCAAAGAGTTTCTTATCCAGATCCTTCTGCAGTGCTGGGAAAAAGAAAGCCAGTCGGGGGAGGGCAGGAGAGGTGGCCCAGTCCGCCAGGGCAGGCCCGCGGGCTCCGCCGAGCACCAACCCGCCGGCTCCTCCCACCCGAGGCCGCGGCCGGGGACGCGCGGGCGGCGCTCCAGCCTCCCGGCGGGCTCCCCCGGGCCCGGTCCCTGGCCCGTGAGCAGAGTGCGGCCGGCCGCCGCGGCGGTGCCACCTGCAGCCCCCCGCAGCCCCGGCCCCCGCCCGGCGCGCCTACCCTCCCGGCTCAGGCTCCGCTTCTGGCCGCAGCACTCGGCGAAGAGGCAGTAGAGGCGCGGGTAGGAGATGTAGCCGGTGAGCACGCCGGCCAGGGCCAGCCCCAGGCTGATGGGCTCCACCGCCCGCACCACCCACGGCGCCAGGAGCAGCAGGGCCAGCACGGCCCGGCCCAGCTTCATGCCCGGACCCGCGCCGCCCTGCGCGAGCCTGCGCCGACCCTGCACCCGCGCGACCCGCCAGCCGCACGCTTCCGCTTCCGCCCCGCGGTGGCCGCCCTCTTTGTTTGGGGCAGTCCCGCCCCTGGCGCGGGAGGCCGCCGTATTTGTTAGGGGCAGCCCCGGACATCGCACCTCCTCTTCTGAAATGTTTTTTGTAGACATCCGCTGATAGTTAGGTGTTTTTTTGTTTTGTTTTTAAGAACAGTTTTAGGTTTACAGAAAAATTGAGAAGGTCAGAGGGTTCCCACATACCATCCCCCTAGTTTCCATTATTAATTTTTTAAAAAGTTGTGGTGTTAAGAATCGAACCCAGGGCCTCACACATGCTAGGCAAGCGCTCTTCCATTAAGCTAGGACCCCAGCCCATCCATTATTAAAATCTTTTTTTTTTTTTTTTGAGAGAGAGAGAGAGAGAGAGAAAGGTTTTTTTAATATTTATTTTTTAGTTTTCGGTGGACACATCATCTTTATTTTATTTGTATGTGGTGCTGAGGATCGAACCCGGGACCGCGCATGCCAGGCGAGCGCGCTACCGCTTGAGCCACATCCCCAGCCCAAAATCTTATATTATTAAAATCTTATATGCTACATTTGTTACAATTAATGAACCACTCGATAGATTAACTAAAGTCTGTAGTTTATTCACATTCCCTTACTTTTACTTAATTCTTTCTTGCACACCACATTTAGTTGTAATGTCTGACTCTTTTTTTTTTTGAAAGACACATATTCTTTTTTTTTTTTTTTAAAGAGAGAGAGACAGAGAGAATTTTAATATTATTTTTTAGTTTTCGGCGGACACAACATCTTTGTATGTGGTGCTGAGGATCGAACTGGGCAGCACGCATACCAGGGGAAAAAATGAAAAAAAAAAATGAGGCACATGTGGTTCCTGCCTCTGACCTTGCATGCTACTAGAGCTGGGTATTCTCCACTTTATAGATGAGAAAACAGATTTAGAGGGAAAGGGATTTGTCCAAGGACACAATTAACCAGGAGCAGGGCTCAGATCTGACCTCGGAGCCAAATTCCTGTAGCCACAGCACCCACCCTACATCAGCTCAGGAGTCAACAGACTGCTCCTTCCCTGTTGTGGTGCCTGTGTCAATGCCTCAGGGAAAATAGCAGCAAGTTTGGGAAGGTATTTGACAGGCTGGGGTATGTCCATGTCTTTTGAATTAAAGGAGAAAAATCTATCTTAGTAATTCAGTTTTACATTTGAGTTACTCCACCCCAGGCTTTGAAAACATTATCTGATGTTAATGTAAAGAAATATAATACAAACAATAAGGTGGGTTTCTGCCAGGTTTCTGCTCTCGCAACTAAGAGGCTCAGGGGTCACTCTAGTTAAACTGGGCTAACTGGGCTGCACGAAATAACCACACAAGAGACACAAATACCTTTTTCTTTGGGGTCGCTGTGACGGCTCCTCTGACCTTAAGGGTCTGCAGAAAGAGAGAGAGCGAGAGCACGCGCTGACCCCTTTTATTGAGGAGAAGCTATTCAAATGAGGCAAGGGGTCAGGTTTCAGGGGGCTGAGTCTATCTTCATGATGTCCACTGTCAGCAGGTTGACTGACACCTGGGTAGGCCACACCCAAGGGCACAGTAAGAGAAGGGGACACACACCAGGCACTTCCATGGAAGATTCTATCCTAAACAGGGCAAGGGGTTATATTACAAAGCAACAGGTGAGCATAGCTGCACCCATGGGGCTGTAGCAAGACACACCCATTTCTGTGACTGAGGGCCTCAGCACCCAGCTGGGGAATGTAACTCAGTCACCCATAAGGTTGGCTTCCCACAGGTTTCATTTTCAATTCCATCACTGTTTTAAAAGTGATAAGAAATGCAGTTTTTCTTTTTTAGTGGTATTAGTGATACAACCTAGGAGCACACCACTGAACTATATCTCTACCCCATTTTATTTTTTTGAAACAGTGTCTATGTGGGAGACCAACCTTACACATGACTGAGTCACACTCCCCGGCTGGGTGCTGAGGTGCTCAGTCACAGAAATGTGACAGAGTTTTCCCCACCCTTCTTGGGTTCGAGGGTCAGTGTCTCCTGCATGGGTATGTCTTGCTACAGCTCACTGTTCCTTTGTAATATAACCCCTTGCCCTGTTTAGGATAGAATCTTCCATGGAAGTGCCTTGTGTGTCCCCTTCTCTTACTGTGCCCTTGGGTGTGGCCTACCCAGGTGTCAGTCAACCTGCTGACAGTGGACATCATGAAGATACTCAGCCCCCTGAAGGTCTAAGTTGCCCAGGCTGGTCTCAAACCTGCAATCCTCCTGCCTCAGCCTCCATAGTAGCTGGAATTATAGATGTGCACCACTGTCTCAGCTTAATTTTTCTTTTTCTTTTTTTCATTTAGAGAGAGGGTCTCACTAAGTTGGTTAGTGCCGTGTTAAGTTGCTGAGGCTGGCTTTGAACTTGTAATGGATCCGCCTGCCTCAGTCTCCCAAGTCACTGGAATTACAGGTGTGTGCAACTGCACCCAAATCAATTTTTCTTTTTTTTTAAATATTTTTTTATTTTTTATTTTTAGGTGGACACAATATCTTTATTTTATTTTTACGTGGTGCTGAGAATTGAACCCAGTGTCTCACGCATATTAGGTGAGTGCGCTACCACTTGAGCCACATCCCAGCCCCTCAGTTTTTCTTTTTTAATGAAGAGAAACAGGTAACTTTGTGTAAGTCAGAAATACTAATATCTCTGATCCCATCCCATGTTTTCTGCTGTCTGCTGGACCTACTAAAGCAAAAAAGGATGCAGACTCAAACCCTATTCCAAATGCACAAAAGCAGAAGACCTGATCATGTGTGCTCTTGGAAGCACAGTATGAAGGATGTCATCCCACCACGAGCAACACACGGCTATGCCCTCCGACTCAGAACAGCACTAAGAGAAGTCAGGGGGCTGGGCGGGGGGCTCAGCAGTAGCACACTTGCCTAGATGTGTGAGGCACTGGGTTCGATTCTCAGCACCGCATATAAATAAATGAAATAAAGGTCTGTCAACAACTAAAAAATATATTTTTTTTAAAAAAAGAGAAAGTCAACATATTTACAAACAAGATTTAATGATGCTCATAGGAACAGTTTGCCCCCAAATAGGAAAACTACCCAGTTTTGTTTCAAAAAGTCACAAATTCAGTGCTTGAAAGCCAGCAGGAAGCAGCGGTACCAAGCCTGCCCAGCAGGGACAGCCCAGGCCTTCTGCAGCAGGGCGGGTTAGGCCGCGTGTGCTAGCCACCCCCTCCACGACGCCTCAGTACCGCCTGTTCATCTTCTTGAACTTCTCATAGTGGTAGTCATCAGTGGCCTTCTCATTAGCGGGACGTTTGCGGTTAGGAGGGGACCCTGAGGAGAAGAGGAGACAGTCTGCCACACTGGAACCCACCACGAGACCCTGCTGCTCACAGGCCAGGGCCACACCATCTGGTTCCCTGTGGCTAGGCCAGTGCATACAGCATGGGAGGGCCTGGGGTGAGTATGTTTTATTTTTGCTGTCAGAACTTTCCCAGCTTGTCTCTCCTGTACTTGGTCATAGAGTGAATCCTTAGAACAGCCCCAAGAGGTGAGTTCTGTTACCATCCCCATCGTATAAATGAAGATGCTGAGGCTTGGAAAGGGATGGGCCAGAGCATGGATGAGAACCAGGATGCCCTGACCCAAAGCCAGAGCTCCGCCCTCCCCCGCCTGCCCTGGTCTGCACAGGCCTCCTGGGAACCGGGGCCTCAGCTGTACTCACGCTCAGGCTCTGGCTTCTCTGTGTCACCCACTCGCAATGGCCGGGCTTTGGGCTCCTCTTTGTTTCTCCGGATGGGAGCATTGAGCTCCTCATGATAAACTGGACCACAAGAGAGCAGAGTACACGTCAGACAGACTGCGGGGCTCCTGGGCACCTAGCCCAACGTGGGGGACCGCAGGGCTGCTTGCCAGAGCGCTTACATCGGTTGTGTTGCACGTAATTCACAGCCATGTTCGTGGGCACGAAGGATGTCTCACTATCTTTCTTCTTGTTCTGCTGCTCTGCCAGCAGGCGAGCTTTGGCATCCTCCGTGGAAATGATATTTTTTATTTTTGCACTATGGGGAGAGAGGAATCAGAGCCCATGTTAGATCACAGCCCCTCTGGTATGCAGGTGGAATTCACTGGCGAGGCTGGCAGCCCACCCCTGTGTGGGGAAATGGTCTGTCCTAGGCAGGGCTCTCTACAGTTCACCAAGCGCCTTTACAGTCACGTTCTTGTGGACCATTTGTAGTCATGGGAGATCAGGAGCTGTTCCTCTCTTCTGATCAACAGGAAATCAAGCCTATAGTTCAAAGCCAGCAAGGCCAGGAAAGAGGTGAGAACCCAAGGTCTCCTGTGCACTCTCCCCAGTGAGGGTGTGGGTCATTGTATTTCTTTTGTGATACTCCCCCTCTAAGCAGGTATTTTGTAGTTAAAGTGAAAGGAGGATCATCGGGGAGCCTGGGGGAGCCTTTAACAGCTCTTGCTGGAGAACCCAGCGTAAAAGCCCAAGCTGGGAGCAGGAGGCGAGGAAGCACTTGTGCTCTCAGCTGTCAGGCCCTCAGGTCTCTCTGACCACTCTGACCAAGCCTCCAGAAAACTCCTGCAACAGCCTTCCAGAGAGAATGGAATTTATGCTTGTGGGTTTCCAAGGTCACAAGGAAAAAATGGTCCCCACAACTTTTAACTGGCAAACAGCTCTCCCGAGTGCCCAGGGCAGGGAGAGACAAGAAGGGTCTAACACGCACTCGATGCCCAGGTCCACCTCGGGGATGCCACTCAGCATCTGGTTGGAAAGCATCTCCTCAGTCTTCTTTGCAGAGGAGACACGGATGTTTTCAGGAAGTTCATATAGACAGTCCTCTGCGTTCTTTGGCTTGATTTTCTGTTCCTCGTGTTCCACAATCCCTTTCCTCTTCTTTAGCTCTGTCTCAATGTACTTCATCCTGAAAAGAGAAACCCACAGGCATCAGAGAGGGCAAGAGCTTGTGTTGGACATCTTCTAAATTAGGAGTCCCCAACACTGGCCCACAGATCCATGATGGTCCACGAGGAAATACTCTTCAGTTCCTGGAGAACTGAGAAAAAAATAACTTGTGATTTTTCAAGTTAGAAAATTTCAATTTAAACTGGGCACAGTGGTGCACACCTGTAATCCCAGTGGCTTGGGAGGCTAAAGCAGGAGGATCGAGAGTTCAAAGCCAGCCTCATCAACAGTGAGGTGCTTAACAACTCAGTGAGAGCCTGTCTCTAATAAAACACAAAATAGGACTGGGATGGGGCTCAGTGGCCAAGTGCCCCTGAGTTCAATTCCTGGTACCCCCCCCAAAAAAAGAAAATTTCAACTTAAAGTACCAACCTATATCATGTCTTACCAATCTACTGATGTTAAGCTTCTTTGAAGACAAAAAGCACAATATTCTGTGTATGGTTAGGCAAAAAACATGACATGGTATGTATGATATACAAACTAAAATTAATGCCAACTGTTGATCCTGAAAGAAAGAGCAGTGAGGCAGAGACTCCAAGTCACCATTCAGTATGGCCAACTTGTATGATATAAAATGAAACAAGGACACAACAGAAAGCACAATATGTAGTTATTTTGGGGTTTTTTTGGACACTGGGGAGTGAATCCAGGGGAATTCTACCATTGAGCTACAGCCTCAGTCCCACCTTAAATTTTTTTTTTAATTTTGAGACAGAATCCCACTAAGTTGCCCAGTCTGGTCTTGAACTGGACATCCTCCAGCCTCAGCCTATTGCTGGGATTAGAGGTGGTATTTGTTTTTAAAAGGATTTAGCAAAAGAATATGGGTAAGTTCATGCTTATTCCTGTAATATTTTGGGGAAATATCACTAGTCAAGGAATCTAAAATCCCAAGAACCACCCTTTAAAGAACTTTTAAAACGTTTTCTTCCTTCCTTCTTTTTTATTTCTTTTTTTAAAAAATATATTTAGGGCTGGGGATGTGGCTCAAGCGGTAGTGCGCTCGCTTGGCATGCGTGCAGCCTGGGTTTGATCCTCAGCACCACATACAAACAAAGATGTTGTGTCCGCCTATAACTAAAAAAAATAAATAAATAAAAATATTGAAATTCTCTCTTTAAAAAAAATAAAATAAAATAAAAATATATTTAGTTGTAGATGGACTTAATACCTTTATTTTATTTTTATGCGGTGCTGAGGATGGAACCCAGTACCTTCCACGTGTAAGGCAAGTGCTCTACCATTGACCTACAACCCCAGCTCCCTTCCTTTCTTTCTTTCTTTCTACCAGGATTGAACCCAGAGGCACTTAACCACTGAGCCACGTTCCCAGCCCTTTTTGCATTTTTTTTTTTTTTTTTTTGAGATACAGTGAGGCTGGCCACAAACTTAGGATCCTCCCTCCTCAGTCTCCCAAGTCTCTAGGATTACAGGCGCATGCCACCATGCCCAGCTTTTTAAGAGGTTTTCAAAGTTCTGAAGCCTGAGAGGCAGGGAGAGAGAGGTCAACTTTGGTGTCTTCTAGAGAACTCTAGAAATGTCAAATGTGACTAAGTATCATCTTAGACTTGTCTGACTTCAGCCCAGCTCCAGGTGCTCACAGCCAAACAGACTGGCACCTACATGTCTGCATCTTCATCCCTCCGGTTGGTTTCTGCAGAAAATGATGTCCCCAGATGAAGGTCCTCCTCTTCACTGATTCTGAAAGAGCAGTGAGGCAAAGACTCCAAGTTACCATTCAGTGTGGCCAGCTTGTATGATATAAGAATGAAACAAGGACACAACAGAAAGCACAATATTCTGTTTATGGCTGGGCAAAAAACATGACATGGTATGTATGATATACAAACTAAAATTAATGCCAACTATCTGTTGGCTTCTGGTGATACCTCTGGGAAATTTAAGCTTTGTAATATTTGAATATATTATTTTTAGAATGGTTTCGTGTTTGAAAGGTAATGAACAAAGCACTTTTACAAAGGGAGTCTACCTACTTGGCTCTGAGCTAAGTTTTAAAGTTTTGTTTCTTTTGAGTTGGGGGCAGGGGTTGGTGGGGACCAAACCTAGGGCCTGAGCATGCTAGGCAAGTGCCCTTCTTTTGTTTTTAAATAACATGCCCTTTGAAAAGCACAAAGGATACTTCTAGATGTTTCATGAAAAGTACTACTGCAGACCACCCTCCAACCCTTCTCTGAAGGTGCTTGGCCTGAGGCAGAGGCTGGCATGAATCTGCATCTGTCTACCCTCCACTTACTTATCTTTCCCCCTTTCCTTCAGTTTCTTCATGTCCACCATACCACCTGTCTTCATCTGAAAGGGATCATCCTGCAGAGAGCAAGCACAGTTAGAGGGAGCACCACAGCAAGAGCATGGCGATCACCATCATCATCATTATTTTTTTTTTCTAAAACACCAGGGATTGAACCCAGGGGTGCTTAATCACAGAGCTACATCCCTAAGCCTTTTTATTTTTTGAATAAAGGTCTTGCTAAGTTGCTTAGAGCCTCACTAAGTTGCTGAGGCTGACCCCAAACTTGTGATCCTCCTGCCTCATCCTCCAAGTGGCTGGGATTACAGGCGTGCATCACCATGTCCAGCAGTCATCACTGGTTTTAAGAACAGTCCCCTACAAAAGAGAAGCCACTGAGAGGACCCCATAACTTACCACTAGTGTGGTCTCTTCTTGTACCTTCTCTCCCACCAGCAGGGCAGCAGCACTGTGCAAAACAAAAGAAATCACAATTCAGCAATAAGGAGGAACAGTCAGAAATTTGTAGGATGCAATATAAGTATAAAGGGCAAGATCCGAGGGATAGAAAAGAAAGCCAGGTGGAAAGTCCCACAATTAAATTAAAATGAAATGGCTTACTGTGGATGCTGAGGGCGAGGGGGAAGTAGTACACTTTCCTATAAAACCATTCATCATGTCTTGGCCTGAAAATCTCATTTCTAAGATTTTGTCATCAAGGAAAGTGCAGTAAAAAAAGACAAATGCAAGAGAATATCTGCTTCAGCCATCTTCAATGGTGAAAATTTACAAATGACCTACATAGATTTGTTAATAAATTACAGCGCATAGTTCTGTTGGAATATTATACAGCCATTTTCTGAAAAGTATTCCACAATATGAGTGAATGCCCACAATGTTGTAATGAGTTGAAAAAAGCAAGAGAAAAAGTATGTATATCACATTGCTGAAAATCTTCACAAAAGAGAAAGAGGAAACAGACCGGAAAGAACCTTAAATGTTAACCTTAGTTACTTCTGGATCAGCAAATTATGAGTGCAGAGAGCAAGCATAAACATTATTTATCTATCTTTTGGTGCTGGGGATTGAAGCCAAGTGTTTTTAATCTATACGCAACATCCCCAATTCTTTATATTTTTTGAGATAGAGCCTCCCTAAGCTGCTGAGGGTTTAACCAAGTTGCTGAGACTGACTTTGAGCTTGTGATCCTCCTGCCTCAACCTCCCCAGTCACTGGAAGGTACTCTTTATTTGGACTATATTTTTCCAAATTTCCTAAACTCTTAATAATCAATGTGTATTTCACAAAATTAATCGGGTGAATTAAAGTGCAAGTTCATGACCTGTTTCTGTACCTCTGGAGCGTTCCCAGAGACCACTGTTCTCTGGACATGTGGTTAAGCGTCTACAAGCAACATTGGTCCCCTCTCCAAGCAGCAGAAGGTGTACGATGTGTTAATAAGAGCCATTTCTGAAATGTCTGGATGACAACTCAGGCAGGGGCGTGTCTGTCTTTACCACCGGCCAAGCACCCGGCTGTCCCCGTGGTACCCACCTCACCCCATTAGGCCTTTTTCTCAAGTTCTGCACTTCTCGGGTCTCTTCCAGTTTTAGCCTGGAAAAAAAAAAAAAAAAAAAAAAGCAATGCCCAAGCTGAGAGATCATCCGTGGAACCCAGAGCCAACAGGCTGCTTGGAGGGCACCCTGACCCCAAGCAGAGCCGCCGCACAGTGGTCAAGAGGGTGACCCTGCGCCTCGGACCCCTGGGAGTCAGATCCAGGCATATCCCGGGGCACCACCCCCATCTGTGCGGCCTGGGGCGACGGCCTCATACCCAGGAGCCTCAATTTCTTTGTCCAGAAGGAACAACAGCCCCAGCTCACAGTTAACTCAGTCTAGGAAGCGCCCGGTCAGCGGTCAGTCTCCCGTGCCAGTTTCTCTTTTCTAGGTCGGTGGAAGCCCCGCCCCAAACGCACCGAACCTCCTCCGAATCCTGCTCATCTTCCTCCGACTCAGAGTCGGCCCGGCGCCGGCGAAACATCTTCCCGGTGACCGGCATGGTGGAACCGGCCCCGGGTCCGGCAGCCGCGCCGCCGCGCCAAGTTCCGGGCCGCTTCCGGCGCGCGGCGTTGCTGTCAGAGCGCCGATCACGCCCCCTGGGCGCCCCGCCCCGGGGCCCGCCCCCAACGTGGCGTCGTCCTCTTCCGATTGGGCGGCCGAGGTGGGGGAGGCGGGGCGAGTTCTGCCTGGCCCCACGGCCCGGAGCGGCGCTGCTGAGGGCGCGCTTGACTGACAGGCGGCGGCGGCGCGGTGGCGACGGCAGGTGAGTTCCGGGCCGCCGCCGGCTGCTTCGGGGGCTGGGCCTCTCCGAGCAGGGAAGACCCCCAGTCCCTCTCTGGGCCTTGGGGCCTGGCGCTGCTAGATGCGCGGAACGCCCAGCCAGGTGAGCGGAGCCCGGGATGCCCTGGTCGCCGCCGCCCCTCTCCCCGCCTCCGGCCGGCGCCTGGGGGGCCTCCCGGGCGCCGCGCATCGAGCCCCCGAGGGCCCGTGGCTTCCTCCAGACGGGGGCCGCCCTGGTCTCTGGCTTCTGCTGAGGCCTGACCCAGCGCTGAAAGCGTGCGCGTGGCGTCCTGAGGCGCTGACTTTTATTTCCCCCGGCTTTGGGCCCTGACGTGCATTTTTTCCCCTTTAGGGACAAAAGATGACCACTCTCCCACGGTGGTGAATTTCAGTCGCAGCGCCCACTGCCTGGGTAGTAATGGCCTGAGGCCGCCTCTCCCCGAGAGATGCCTCGCCTCGGCTGACAGCCACTCGGAGGGTTGGAGACCAGGGCGCTCTTCCTCGGGCGCTTGCTGGCCTCCTTCCTACCTGACACAGGCCTTGTCTTCCTCCTGCCAGGAGGACAGGCGCTCTGCCCTCCACACCTTCCACCCCGCAGATGCTGTGAGGATAAAGTTTATATGAAAACGGGTGTCAGCAAATGCTTAGGAAATAGAAAAATGCACAAAATGCAAAAAAATGCTCATGGGACTTTAGGAACCCCTTAGTAATAGTTTTTCTCCTCTCCTCTCTATTCTCCTTTGAAAGAAGACTCGATTGTTAGTGCTTACTGGGGCAGGCACTGGCGAAGTCTTACCTCCTTGATTTCTCCCAGCAGTCCTGGGAAGCAGGTTCAGTTGTTTTCTACTTCATGAACGAGGGTGCACAGCCTGAAGGTGGAGCAGGGGTCAGTGCAGGTGTCGATCTGCTCCAGGGGTTGTGCAGTACCTGGCACAGTTGGCTTCTGTGGGTGTCTACGGCTGCAGCTGCTGCGGCTCCCATTGGCTGTGGGAGGGGCTGATGGAGCCTCTTTTTTTCTGGAAGATCATTCTAAAGCAGGGCAACATTTCTGGAATTCCTTACTTTTCTCTGGATCAGTCTTCTCTGAGATTGTTGTTCTCTTTCTTGGACTGGGACAAATAAGATTCAGGGCTTCTTGAAACAGCCTTTTGGCTTCAGTCGAAAGCCATACATCAAAAGTCTTAAGTCTTGCCCTCTGCATTCTGTTTTTTTTTTTTTTTTTTTTTTTTTTTTTTTTTTTTAGAGAGAGTGAGAGAGGAGAGAGAGAGAGAGAGAGAATTTTTTTTTAATATTTATTTTTTTTTTTAGTTCTCGGCGGACACAACATCTTTGTTGGTATGTGGTGCTGAGGATCGAACCCGGGCCGCACGCATGCCAGGCGAGCGCGCTACTGCTTGAGCCACATCCCCAGCCCCTTGCCCTCTGCATTCTGGTTCAGCCAAACCCAGATGTACCTGGCACTCACTGGACACCCTGTCCTTGTCAACAGAAGGAGAGGCTCCTTGGGAATTGCTGCAGGAAGCCAGGAACTCAGGGTCTTCAGCTCTCACACTTTTAGAGGTGGCTTTGTTTGCCTGCTTAGCCCCCCTCCCATCTGGGGGTACTGGATACCATTTAGAAGCTGGGGTGTGGCTCAGTAGAAGAGCACTTGCCTAGTATGCATGAGGCCCTGGGTTCCAACCCCAGCACCACAAAAGAGTAATGCCCAAAAGTGGCAGTTATCAGTCTGACAGTGGGTGGCAGGACTGAGGGACTGCAGTCCCTCTGTCTTGTCAGGCCGGTTTGAGGAATGAGACTGCTTCTCAGAAGGGGCCTCCAGGAAATTTAGGTTCTCTTGTGTTTTAATTTTATTTGGGAGTTTGGTTGTTCAAAAAGCCTGGGTTTTGATTGGTTCACTAGCTTTTCGTAGCAATAGATGAAATCGTGACATGGTTCAGGGAACATGATGTCTGGATGGATTGGGATCCAGTAGAGTGATACAGTTCATAGCTCAGCCATAGTAGGTATTTAATAAATGCTTGTTGGACCAATTTATTTATTCAGGAGATATTTACTGTGGAGCATGCCTGTGAACTCCAGCTACTTGGGAGGCTGAGGCAAAAGAATTACAAATTCAAGGCCAGTTCAGCAACTTAGCTCCTGTCTTAAAAAAAAAAAATTAAAAAGGACAGGGCCATAGCTCAGTGGTAGAGCACCCATGGGTTCAATTCCCAGTTTGAAGGAAAAAAAAGTAAAGAAAAAGGGATATTTACTGAGCATTTACTACGTGAGTCAGACACTGCTTAAAATACATCAGTGAGCAAAAGAGACATAAGATCCCAATTGTAGTGGAATTTTTTATTCTGATAACTTAGTAAATAAAGTATGTAAGTGTGTTAGGTAGTAAATACTTTGGAAAAGAGGAAAAAATGGAAAACTGCAAAGAAATCAGCCATGGAGGGGACCAAGTGGAAGATTTAAATTATTGTAATCTGGTTCATGCTCTAGTTGGCAATGTGCCAGGATGCAGTGAACTGAGCTACAGGCCCCAGGTTCGAGTCCCACTTCAGCTGGCTTGTGAGTCTGGAGGAGCCTTCCCTGCTGGGAGTCTGCTTCCTCCTTAGAGAACCTGCTTTGCCTTATACTAGCTCTGAGACCTCTGGCATGAGCCTCTGACCTTCAGATGTTTTGTGGCTTTAGGGTTTTTTTTTTAATTTAATTTTTTAGTTGTAGATGGACACAATACCTTTGTTTTTTATTGCTTTATTTTTATGCAGTGCTGAGAATTGAACCCAGTGCCTCACACATGCTAGGCAAGCTCTCTACCACTGAGCCACATCCCCAGCACCGGCTTAAGGCTTACGTTCTAAGCTCAGGTTGTATAATGGCGGTGGAAGAATCAAGCCTTTCTTAGTTTTTCAAGTTGGCAGGTAATACACTAAATCAAACACAGCTGGTTCACATTAGCATGAAAAGAGGGCACTTGGAGAAAATTTGAAAGTTGACAACAGATGCTTAAAGACAGAATTGTGACAGTTCTCTTTGCTGTGAACAGAAATGAATGTGTATGTAGAAATTTCAGGGAAGCCAATTTTCATTTATTGTTAGGACTAAAACAACCAGAGTCACCTTCTGGGAAAAGGGTGATTTTATTGTCAATGACTGGGCTCCGAGCGAGTTTGGACAGCCAGCCAACAGGGATTTTATGGAGTACAGTCCCATCCTAAGAGGAGGATGCAGGCCAAGCTTGGTGGCCCATGCCTGTCATTCAAGCTACTCTGGAGGCTGAGGCAGGAGGATCACAAATTCAAGGCCAATCTGGGCAATTTAGTGAGACCCTGTCTCAATTTTTTAAAAAAATATAAATAAAATAAAAAAAGAGTTGAGGATGTAGCTTAGAGGTGGAGTGCCCCTTGGCCAATCTCCAGTGGGGGGTGGGGGCGGGAGAGATGTAGCGGGGCAGCACACCCGGCGGTAGAACGCCTGCCTTGCCTATGTTAGGCCCAAAGGATGATGAATGCTTCCTCAATCCCTTTAAATCTCGAGATGGGGGGCTGGGGATGTGGCTCAAGCGGTAGCATGTTGCGGCCCCGGTTCGATCCTCAGCACCACATACAAAGATGTTGTGTCCGCCAATAACTAAAAAATAAATATTAAAAATTCTCTCTCTCTCTCTCTCTCTCTCTCTCTTAAAAAAAAAAAAAAAAAATCTCGAGATGGCTTGGCAGAAACAGGGTGCAGATCTCACCACCTGAATAAAGAGAATCTCATTTCAAATCCCAGAAGTCAAGATCTTCCTGGCTCTTCGTTTCCATTGCCCATAATTGGGAGTGTAGCTTAGCTACCTCAAGGGTTTGTAGGTCTGAATTTCTGAGTTTCTGCTTACACTAGTGCACCTACCCCAGTGCTGGAGGCTTCCTGTGAGCTGGGCCTGTAGTTTCCCCTAGCCAGACAACCCCCAGGGACTACCAGCCTGGGATAGCCCCAAACCTGTGTCAATTAGTGACTCACCTGGAACCCATGTCGGGCTTTGAGCTGTGCAAAGATACAGTCCTAGACTTGTGGACACTGAGCTGAGCGAAGACGCACTTTGTGACCATGACTCTGGAGAGGCCCTGGGAGACTGTGCTTGGACCTGGGAGGTGGAGACCCCCCTTGCCAGGCTGGCCAGGCCTTTAGGCCACGGTGGAATGGTGGTTCAGAGCATGGGCTTCAGGTCACTTTGCCCCAAGTTTGGACCCTGCCTCTGCGGCTCAGTGGCTGAGTGACCTCAGCGGGTTTCCTCGGCCTCTCTCAGCCTGGTGCCTCACCTTGAGTGATGGAGATGGATTCAGCTTGCCTCGTTGCTGCCCCCAGCACGGTGGTGAGGGTCCGCTGAGGTCACTGTGGGAGAACTCTGGGCCTGGAGCTGTTGGAGTCAGACCCGGTACTGGGGCCCTGCAGGGCAGGGGCAAGGAGGGTCAGGCTGGGCAGAGCAGGAGGCCTGAAGATGTGGGGAGTGGGGTTGGTCGGTGCAGGAGGAGCCGCGGGTTCTGCCTCAGAGTCAGGGTGGAAGACTCTTCAGAAGGAAAGACAGTGTTTGGGGCTGGGAAGGAGAGGCGGCCAGGAGGGAGGGAAAGGGCGCAGGTCCTGAGGGGCCAAGGCTTCATGGAGAGTTACGCGGAGGGGACAGGTGCTGGGACAAGGCTGTGACTGGCCAATGTGGGGACCAGGCTAGGAGGACTGCAGGGGTATCTCCACAGGGCCATCTTCCCCGCTCTGAGGGACTAGCTCCTCCCTGGTTGGCCTCTGGGAAAATGATGG